TCATCAGGTGTTGGCCCTGATAGGAGGTACTTATCTAAGCTGGTCACCTTTTTCTTCATAATGCCCAATAGAAATGCCATAGGCCATAGCCATACTATTGCTTTTGATTTATGTTTATAGTATGTCGAAAAGAACAAAATTTTAAAGTGCATGCACCCTGATACACCTATTTGCCTTGAGCTGCAAATGGGTCACTTCATGGTGCAAAATGAAAGAGTCTGATTACTGGTTTTCTTCACATAAGCTAGTGATGAAGTCCAGTAACAACTCCACATTTCACATATTTTTTATTTGCTCTAGAGATCAAAGCAGTTTATTAGTATATATTTCGTTCTACTTCTTTGTGGTGCACACCACACATTTTTAGAAGTTAAAAGCAACTTATACCAGTTTTATTTCTTTCTCTTTCGATGGTACCTGTAGTGGCCCAAGAGCTGTATCTGTAGTGAATTCTTCATCAGAAAAACTGGGTGGTGCAACTGTGGTTGCCACTGCAGTTGTTCCTGATGAAGTGGACAAGATCAAGGGCATTCTGGTACAATGGAGTGATATTGACCATGTTAACCTCATTCTGACATTAGGTAACATGATCTTATTCTTCAGGTTAATAGTGTTGCACATTACTTGTTTCCTACTCACATGAGCTACTTATTGGTGATGATGCACATCATGCAGGAGGAACTGGCTTCACACCCCGAGATGTCACACCAGAAGCAACAAAATCGGTGATACAGAAAGAAGCGCCTGGTCTCACATTTGTTATGCTTCAAGAAAGTTTGAAGGTAATGGTGGCATCTGTTACATCTTACATATGCTGAATGTTTTGCATTTTTAGATCACGAGCTGAATGTTTGCACGGATGAATGACTGATAAAAGCTAGCCATACAAATTGAAACAGTTATCCATTACTGTTCAATGTTTCAAATTCTTAAGAAACATTATAGTTAATCGTTCTCTGGTGAACTTCGCTTGTAATGAGATCTTATTATCTGTACTTGCTCTGAACTGTTCTTTGTGGCGCAGGTTACACCATTCGCAATGCTATCTCGGGCCACAGCTGGAATCAGAGGATCGACACTTGTACGTACTAATACTCTCACAACAACAAAAAAAGGTATTGGTCAATTTCTTGCATCTAGACCTCCTAATCGCTGATCATGGGTGTTTGTAATGTTTTCCAGATAATCAACATGCCTGGCAACCCAAATGCTGCGGCGGAGTGCCTGGAAGCACTCCTCCCGGCGCTCAAGCACGCCCTGAAACAGATCAAGGGTGACAAGAGGGAGAAGCACCCTCGTCACACCCCACACGCCGCCGCAGCGCCTGTGGACCAGTGGGAGCGGAGCTTCAGAGCCGCATCAAGCTGGTAGTGGCAGGGGGTGCTCGTGCGATCCCTGAGGACAGGAGACGCATTGCGGAACACAAACTAAAAATGGGTCTCCAATACAATACCTATAGCCTTCAAAAGTATCTATATGGAAGACCCGTTTTGGATGCTATGAGAGGCATAATTCAAATCTAAATATCATCTCTCCTGAAGACCCATTTGTAAAAAGAGTTGTTTTTTAGATCTTGTTGGAGAAGACAAAAATAGGTATTAAACCCTTTGCTATAGCGCTACCCAAAGAACGAATGTGTTTGTCTTGTATTTTAAGTCACGGTTGGGCACGACTGTGTCCAGCTTGATGTGAAGTTTTGATCTTGTTTGTCGTGATGTTATATGAAGATGCTGGAGTCCAGCTTGATAACTAGCTGTTGATCGCGAACTTCTTTCACTGCGCTCCAAACAACGTACAATATGGTTCCAGTTTCGTTGACTGGCCGTTGATGTTTTGCTTCACCTGTTGCTGCGCGCGGTTTCTTTTCCTTTTCATGGCGGCAATTCGTGTGGCTGTCTTGCCATAACATCCTTACCTTGCGAGAAAGAAATATTCAGAGAACGGGAATTGATTTAGACATAAATAGGATGATTGGTTTAAGGAATGAATTAGTCTACCATTTTCTTACTCTTTACTTTTTTTTGGTTTATGAAATAGAATGAGTTGATCCATCATTACCCCATTCATCACAAACTAATAATTAGTACTAATACGAGGAATGGAGCTATTTTACCAAATTTCAGGAATGGACTCAATGACCTTATCTAGAATATAGTGATCATTCAAACCAAACATCCTAAAAATGTACAAGCCACTGTTTCAGCAAGTGTAAGTTTGTGAGAAATGCTGGCTGGCCTGAATTCAGAACAACCCGCCTTGATCTAGCCGAGCTTCAGTCCGCCAAACAGGTTGCGCAATACTATATTTTAGCACGAGGTGAAGGTGAAGAGACATATCCCAAAGCTGTGATGTTGCTGTTGACTGTTGAGATGGATGTCCAGCGCAGGCAGGAGAAGTTGCAGGATTGGAATGCTATAGCTTTATAGTATGACCTCGTGGGTTTCACAGATCGGATCTCTCGCATCGACAAAGGAAGGGTAGCTGCTGGGTAGGCCAACGAAACAGACAATCAGATGGTGTATGCTAGATCAGATGCTGGAGACGTACGGCTGACTTAATGCCCTGGAGGCGGCATGTCTTCGGTTATTTCAGAGGAATGCCTAGGCATAATGTCCATGTCTTCTATCTCCTTTTGACCGGAGTTCTCGATCTCGACCGCCTCTTCCTGCAACGAGTAGACACAGTTAAGGAAGTGTAACTCAGTTACTGTACAAGTTGGCCAACAAATAGAGGATTCCAGATTTAAAGGAATCAGCTGGTGCAGACAATTGAGGATCCCAGATTTGAAGAAATCAGCAGTTTCCGTCCAGAATACCCAAGAGTCCAAGATAAGTACAGTTGAATCTAAAACAACTGAACTGAAAATTTTCCTGCAGGCTACAAAATTTACGATGTGCAATTTTGAGCTAACCCAGGACAAATTGTGCAGAAAATGTCTATGATTTCTCAAGATGACACGGAAGTTTTCTGGGATTACTATAAAATATCACATTTCATAAACAAGGTTCCTAGTAAGATCGGAACAATGTGTTTTTTATAGAAATGTGCTGTCAAGATACCTAAGATTCGATTTTATTCTTAAATTCCTTACTACTTGTTTTGTTTGCAGCTAAGCTAATTTCCCATAATCAGCCACAGCAGGATTGATAGCTAATCTAATTTCTATCCTAAATCTGAAAGCAAATAGAAACTCATGATGAACCATCAGCACAAGTAATAGTATAATGGCGAAGGAATAACTGATTAATCTCTTACCTGTCAGCAGATGAATAAGGCGAATGCCTGCGGTGAGAATGCTTGCTATGTGGAGACCGCGAAATTCGTCTAGAGATGAAACATAATACTAAATGGGTAAGTTTAAGGATAAGAGGTATATGAACCTGATGTTTCTTCACGCAGAAGATACCTGCACGCTCATATCAAATTCACAAAGTGTACAATAAACAATTTCTATGTGATTCAACAACTTGCCATCGCATATCCAATAAAGAAGAGCAGTGCGTTCAAATTAGTACTCCCTCCGTTCCAAATTATAAGTCGCTTTGATTTTTTTAGTACATTTATTTTGCTATGCATCTAGATAAAATCAATGTTCAAAAAACGTTATTAAGCGTCGTTTAATCTAGTTTAAACGCTGAACGTTGGCCCAGCATTGCGTTTAGGGGGTAGACGCTCAATTAGACGCTGGGCGCGCCTAGGCGCTCGTTTACACGCGCGGCAGCGATTAAACGGCGCGGAATCGGTCAAAAAACAGAGCTAGGCGGTGGAAAACGCGCGGCTCGCGAGCAGGGAAGCGCGCAGCGCGCGGGCGGGAAGAGGGAAGGAATCGCGCACGGCGCGCGCGGGAAAGAAGCGCGGGAGGGCGCGGAAAACAGCAGGCGGGCCCGATGCGGGAGCACAAATCGGCCGCAAGAAACAGAGTCGGGATTTGTCGCACTCCAGTCCCGCCTCCCGCCTGATCGCTCCTCGCCGCCGTTGGTAGGGCCGTAGGGGTCGTCGCTGGGGCTCCCCTTCTCCTTGGCAGCCGCAGAGGCCGCAGGCGCAGGGGCCGACGCCTGCAACAGAGGGCAGGCCGCCGGCGCAGGACCAGGAGTCGACAACGGCAACGCAGAGGCCGGCTGGTGCAGGCCCAACCCCTCGCTCGTTCTCTCCAGGTGCCCCCTCGGTCTCTCCCCATCTTCCCATGCTCTGTAGTTTTGATTTCTGCATGTCAATCACTCAATTGATGAATTGGATTGGGGATTTAGGGTTAAGATTGAATGTGTACTGCCTGTCTGCCTCAATAACGTTTAATCACGTTTAAACTTCCTAAACTCTAAACCATAGGCTAGCGTTCGCCTAGCGTCTAGCGTTTTTTTGAACATTGGATAAAATAATATGTCTACATACATAGCAAAATGGATGAACCAGAAAAGTCAAAACGACTTATAATTTGGAACGGAGGGAGTACATAGCACAAACCCGCATTACCAGTTACCACCTTAACATGAACATGAACCCCATTCTTTAATGAGTAGAGCTGAAGACAAGAACATCTAGAATGGATCGCTCTATTCATAATAAAAAGCATAAAAAAGCTAGTGATGTATTCTTTTAATCTAGCTGACTAGAATAACTTATGCCAACCATAAACATATTTATCTGTATGAATACTGAGGCTATCTAAATTCAAAATTCTCTCAATCCAAGAATAATTCCTAGCATAGTATTATAGAGAAAGGGCATGAATAGGGTACCTGTTTCTAGATTTTGGGGGTGAAGGTGACATGCTGGTTCTATGGGAATGATACTTTCTGCAGCAGAAAATGGTAATGAACTACTCACCAGAACAGGAGTGAAACTAATACATGCGAAGTATCGTTATGAGTGATGGTACCTCTTTTTCACACTATCAGAAGGCTCGTCACTCGAAACACTCCCTCGAACATGTGAGCTCTCCTTTCTAGTACGACTTCTCCCCCTCGGTGATCGTGACCGTGAATTTCTATTGTTATGACTTGTCATCTGCCTGGATATGTCGTCCTTTTCATATTTTCCTTTTCCCCTCTTCTATCAGTAGTATCTCTGTGTCTCTCTCTATCCATTGGAAAATCCTTCCGATCTCCCTTTGCACCATCATGCTTAGAGTTACCTCTGGAATGTGGCTCCCTTGTATCGGATTCATGCTTTGCAGCCCTACCAGAACCTTTTCCCTCCTTGAAGCTACTCCTTTTGTCAATATTTCCATACATGCTGTATTTGTCATCATTGTTATATTTTTCTGCTCTAGAATATTCGAGTTCTTTTGTATGATCAGTCTTCACCTCATTAACAAAGTCTTCTTTGCTGCTTTTTTCTAAATGCCTGTGACTGCTTTCCAAATCATTGTGCTTTTCAGCATTATTGCCAGAAGAGGTTTTTCTGTTTTGGATATCTACCTCTGCATACCTATGTGCCTTCTCATCCATTCTGTCAACTGCACCCTTTGGCTCAGTATGAGTTTTGGCCTTGAAACGAAACTCTCCATTCTCTGTATCACGAATATGCTTTTGTTCAGGATCTGCATTTGCACTCCTTCGGAAGTTTTGGTTATTAGATTTAAGATCTTCCCCTGATGGAGCACTTCCAAGTGAAGAATTCTGTTCATTATGATTCCCATTTCTCTTTCCAAGAGTGCTTTTATCACCTAAAATTGTATCATGCATCTAAGTTAATAATTCTGGAAAGCAATACGACGTGAGTATTTGGTTGCAGCTTACCTTCAGTATTTACAGCACCAGCATTAGCTTTAGAAGATAAATTTGATATTGGTATCTTATCCTTGACATCAGCGTCAGCATTGTCGTCATCGCCATCATCATCATCTGAATCATAATTAGCCAGGCCAAGAAGAGCACCTTTAGGGGAGCTTAACCCAGCACTATCTTTATGATCAGTGCCATTGGTTGACTTAGAAGGAGAACAACTTTAGCCGAGGTCTTGGTTCTTGATCCTCCCAGACCAGGCTCCTTTGATCCGAAAACACCAGTGGGTTCATTGGCTGCACCAGAGGCAATAGTCAGCAAAGTAAAATGTCTATTTAATATTATAATTCATCCAAATTCACTCACATTCAGCAGAGTCATCTTCATTAAGAACTTTTGTTGCGATCTCATCAAAAAGATCATCAGTAACCTGCCAGTGATGAAAAAAAGGGTAAGAAATTGAACACTCAGAAATAACCTTGCACCTCTTGGACGGATACATACAATAATGTAAACAGTAAACATGATGATCAAGTAAAGAATAAAACCTTCAAAAGGACTTCAGTCAACACACGCTTAATTTCCTTGTTGATCGCTGCCATTCGAGCTGCTTCAATTTCATCCTGCAAATGATTTATGTATGAGCATAATAATTTAAATAAGGACCATGTTGATACTCAAGTTGAAAATGTCCAGGAAAAAATGTCAACATGCTGTTCAACGACATGTTCTACTTATTCTGCAATGCAAGAAAATAGCAAAGTTGATTCTTGTTTCAATCAGTGCTGTTGCTCATGATAGGTTTTCCAATAACTGGCATATGGACACAGCATCTCTGTACGACATAAATGAGTCACTGTATAACAAGAGTTTACATGCCCTCAATATAGGTTTTTTAAAGCAAGCCTGCAGCTCTAGTCCAATAGTCCTACCTGCTGATATTATCTAGAAAGCTAGTTGACTACTATTAACAATGATATTAAATTTTTTCCGTATCTTCATTTAGAGTTTAGAGTCCCCCCAGGCCCCAACACATGCACACACTATTAAGATTACTAACTTGGACGTGTTAACCTCTCCTCATGTCCTCGAATATAAACTGGAAGGATGCTATTTGGTTGATCTTGTATGCAACATACAAAGACAATATCAATAGTGTGACAGTTAAGAGCTGTAATTAAAATAGCAAATGGCACCTCATCATCTTCATCGTCTTCAGTGGATTTACTTTTGCTGTCACTTTGGTCAGGTCTTCCTATTGTTTGTTCTGCATCATTAGCTTCCATGGAATTTAAGTTTTCTGAGTATTGCGCTGAAGCACTCAGTGGTGCCGATTTTTTCTTTAAAAGTTCCTCCCGAAGCCAGTTAGGTACTGGACGCTGGTACAGAATGCAACAGGAACAGATCAAAGTTAAACAATTGAAAAAATTGGGAAAGGAAGCGCATAGCAGGAAAAAGTGGAGGCATACTTTCTTTGATTTTTCTGCAACACTAAAAGGAGTGTTTGGATCTGTAGGGAACACTTCTGTTACACTACCAACACCAAATGCTGCAGGTGGGACATAACTAGAACTAGATGCTGCTCCAAAAAGTGGTGCAACATGCACAGAAGGATTCATCTGTAGGTTCAAAAGAGTATAATCGCTCGTGTAAGGGGACTTAACAGAATAAGTCAATAATTCAAACAGGTGTACAAACCTGTGCTGTTTGTGGTGGCACAGGAGCTCGAGGCAGGAACCCTACTGTAGCAGACGGAGCCCATGAATGTGTAGATGCTGCAGCTACATCATGATTAGATGCTAGTGTTGGAGCAGCTGGGATATTGGAATTGACATTTATATGTACTGCTAAATCAGGAGCTTTCCTACTGTTAAATTCCAAAGGTTGGTCACTTGGATCAACTGGCTGTTTTTCATGCCCAAAAGGAGGCTGTTCTGCCAAGGGAAGAACAGGCATACTAGGGGGAGCCTGTGGGAATCCACCTTGAACAGACGAGGTGGTTGGAAATGACTGTGCTTGAGAGTTTGGATATTGAAGCATATTATTCCCATTACCTATTATTATTACATGGTAAAGTCAAAGTCAGAATTTTCTTTACAAAAAATATTACTCATCATGAGCATTGTAGTTTATGTAAGACAAACAAATGAGTTCAACTCTATATAGCAGAAAAGGATGAATGCTCAAATACATTGTAGAAGTGATCATTTAAAGAAATGTACATTTCTGCCCTTTATTTTACAGTAAAAGAACACCATTAATGAACTATATTGCACCAGTTAATTTTTTTCTTATTTTCAGCATTAAGGACAGTACATAAAATTGGCATGATATACCACCACCAGTAACTATCGAATCCTTGATATCCAATTAGTCAGTAATGAAGAGATTCGTCAACATCTCAATACATTTAACCACTAATATGTGTCTTCCCTCCTCCATTTGATAGAGGCAAACACAATAGATATAACCAATGGTGCTTCAAATGGGACGTAATGAGTACTCACAACAGGTACTGCTAACTAAGTATCACAGAGATAGGTTAAGTGTACCAGACTTTCTATTCTAAAATAAATGATGCTCTAGATTTAAAGTCTTTCCACAATTGAATCTGGCAACATACCCAAGAGTAACCAGCCTATTATTATTCAGGCTGCACAAACAAATTAAATTGCCAAGCAAGGCATACCTGGAGCAGAAGAATAATTATAAGATACCTCCTGCTCATAGGTGGACGGAAATGAACCAAAGTTCTTTGCTGGAGACACCATTGGACCTCTATCTGCAATATAATCTTCAGCTCCGTTCTGAAACTTACACACCCACAAGTAAAATATATAGATCAAGGGAATAAGATACTTTACCTAATAAATGGTTTGTTTCTCTCTGTTGACCTGTCATTGGAAACGGCACAAGATCATTACTTGATTGAGCTACTGGTGGGTGCAAAGGTTCTGTAACTTCTGTTTGCAGACCAGCTGGTTGCTGATACTGATCATGGTAACCATTATGATGACCTTCAGTTCTACTTGTGGATATGGCATGCTGTTGAATCTGGTGGTTTCCCGTAACAGATTTAGCAGCAACCCATGCCTTAGCCTTTGTAGCCCAATCTTCCTCATTGCCATGACCTTCCATTTTTTTTATTTTTAAGGAAATAGAGAAACTATCATCATAACTAACAATTGATTTATTGGTGAAAGAGATTTATTCTGCTTCAAAAGTCTTTCTAAAGTTGATTGTACTATAGTAAATCTTATGATATGTTTAATAAAGTTTATATTTCATTGAGAGTAGCCTAAATGGATTTAACGACAAAGGCTCCCAAATGAACAACTGGTCCATTGATGAACAAGAAAACATTTTACTTTAGTAAAAACAAAGTATCACACCAAAAATTACCAATAACGGATTATGTAAGAAAGCACTCATAAGTGCTAAGAAAATAAAAGTGATGTCGAGAATACGCAAAACCAATCACTTAATATTGATTTATCAACAAATAGTTCTCAACAGAATATTATACAGAAAGGGGATTACATGACAGTAAATGTGTTAGGCTTAATAATTTTAAAGGAAACATCTCATGCGCAGTCACTAATACATCACAGATAGCGGTAGCACCCCAATCAAGTGGTGCAAAGAAATTTCCAACTAAGACTAAACTTTAATAACAACCAGTATTAACATGGCCATGATGGATATATATTTGCAGCTTCAGTAATGTGCTATACAGTAGCCAGAACCTATTGAGAACTTGTGTTTTCACGAACAAGGTTGAAATGCGTGTATATATATAACCTTTAGCCAAAAAAAATCCCATATCCATAAGCGTTAGGATAGGTCATAGGATGTTTAGTAGAAATGCCACAACATAGTGTATCAGTAATTCAGTATAAATACAAGCAATGACGTCATAGTTATTATAAACTAAACTCAATGTGATTTGCAAAATTATATATGAAAGAAGCAGAGGTTCATATAATATTGGCAAACCTTGGTATCCATGATTCTGAGCCCATGAGTGATTGGTCCAAGCCTGCAAAATAAGCAACACCCAGCATTGAACATTATGTTCCATGAAAGTTTAGAGCAAACAAGCAAATGAAGGTCACCTCACTCAAAGAAGAAAAGTTTAGATCCACATCAATAGTAACCGGTAAAGCCGCAGAAAATTGAAAGACTGATAGCAAAATCATTCCATCTACCGTTGTGTACAATCATATCAATGCCAAACTGTGCCCAGCCATTAAGTCATACCATGATTGAATTGTATGGAAACATAAGCTTACATCCGAATTACCACACGCCCATTGTGCTGGGCACTAGAAGTGAAACCCCCTTCCCATTAACCTAACACACAAAGCCACACCTACTCACAAACCCTAGTGCAAAACCAGCTACATATTGCCCCCAAAAAGGACGCCAATGCATCGCTAGCCATTCGAAACGCATACAAGGGTAAACCCAACGTACCTGCCCAGGCGGCGGAGGAGGGTAGCTAGGCGGCGGGTGCTGTCCGGCGCCGTGATGAGGGGGCCAGGGGTTCCCAGGCGGCGGGGGCGGCTGCTGCTGCATCGCCATGGGCGGGGGTGGCGGTTGGTACACGTAGGGCTGCTGCTGCGGCGGCGGCGGATGGTTCTGGTGCTGCAGGTCGGGGGGCGGGCCCCACTGGTGGTGGTGCTGCGGAGGGTAGGGGTGTCCGGGGTGGGCAGGAGGGTACGGAGGTGGGGGCGCCGGGTACCAGTGGGCACTCGGGTGGGAGGGGTGAGGTGGCGGCGGCGGTGCATCGCCGGCGCCGGCGAAGCGTCGCTGGTGCTGGTACGCGTCCATGGAGGCGTACTGGCGGAGGCGGAGGCGGAGGCGGAGAGGCTTGGGCTTGGGGCCTGTGGGGAGGGGGAGGTGGATTTTTCTCCTTTCGTCCTGTGTCCTGACTCCTGAGCTGGGTCGGTTTGGTTTTGCTCAAGTGGGCCTGTATTGTACACGATTTGGGCTTGCCTGCTGGTAGCGACCTTGGGAACCGGCCCAGCTGCAAACGTGCGAGAGGAACGACTTGTTTCACGCATTCCAATTCCCAGACATCACAGGAGTCGACACTTATATACTCCTTCTTTCCCTAAATAAATAGATTTCTAGAGTTATCTTAAGTCAAACTTTTTTAACTTTGACCAAATTTCTAGAAAAAACGTTAAGATTTATTATATCAAATTAGTATCATTAGATTTGCCATAGAATATATTTCATAAAGGTATTCATTTTATTTTATAGATGTAGTTACTTTTTTTCTATAAAGTTAGTCAAACTTTAAAAAGTTTGACTTAGCACAGATTCTACAAATTAATTTATTTGGGGACTTTAGAAATTCAAACTTTAAAAAGTATATTGATTGATCGACAAATTCTATCTAATAACAAAACTAAGACGAAAAATCTTCCTTTTGTTAAATAGCATATAACAACCTTTCAATTAAGCTAACCACGAGGCATCATCAATCTTGCAATATACACTTCCACAACAATGTAATCCAACATGCAGCTGAGAAAAGGTATGAAGCATTTACGTGAAAATCACAGTTGAGCATTAAGTAGCCGGTGTTTGCTAACATCGACCATGGAAGTAAGAAATTCAGTTATCAAAGCTGGAAATACCACAAGCCACAACAATCCAGACATATCTCAACACCATGTCTACGTTGTCTCTACTAACACACTCTTAACTCATAGAAGATTCGGTCTCGAACCAGCTAACTTGGCGTCAGCCTAGTTAGTTTTGACTTCCATCCAAGATAAGCAGTGATTCCCCAAGCAGCTTTTGCGCTTCTCTCTCCTCCTGAAGTAAGAAAATACTCAGGGGCATTAGATGACAAACATTTATGCAGTCACAATTTACAATAAAACCAGAAGACGTGCAAGCAAGCGACTAGTTACCGTGTTTCTAAAGACGAATCGCGAGAATAATGCAAGCATACAGGATACTGTACAAAATTTGTATGCATGGTAGCAGAGGTCGACTTCATAGAATAGCATGTATTCTACAACCTTTTTTATCAAAAATATCAGCTAACCGTCTCTTGATCTACACTATATGTTGTGAATCAGGGCAGCAAGCAGTAGTTAAATGGTCCTTTTGATGATATCATAAACTGTGAAGGATGACTATAGTCCACGTCATCTATACTATGCCAAAGCCGTAACGCAGTGGTAAAAATAAAAGAATTTTGCAACAGTTGTGTACAATAAGAAAGCATATCCAGACACACAACCCATTTTCCCAACTCTTGGTAAGAATATATAAATATTGATGAAACATATATAACAGCTTCAGCATATACTGGAGTGTTGTGCGGGATTGACTTAACACTGATGAATACCTTTTTAGTTCAGAGGTCTACCCTTTTTGTATAAACTACATTAGATGGAAATCCCAAACTTATGCAGCCAAGCTGAATAAAGACTAGTCACTCACTGCTTTATATCTTCAATTGCTTCCTTGCGGTGCTGAATTTGACTCTCAAGCATGTGAATCAATGTGGCTCTTGCCTAATAAAAGATATTAAAGAATGTAAGTACATTTTTTAAGAATAGCAGAAAAATACACCACATGGAACAAAATCTGAGGTTCAAACCTGATGAGGTCGTAGGGAATTGAGAAGATGATGTAAGTTCTTGAATATGAGTGTAATATCTTCTACCCTACGAGCATATTGAGATGGTCTCTCAACTAAAATATCTGCCAGCTCCAAAATATGCAATTGAAGCTCTCTGTTGAGGGTCCTTAGCTCCTTCTTGAAGTCTAAAATTTAACAAATTTTCCAAAGAGTCAGCTCATTAAATCAAAGACAACTCATCAAGTCCTCAAAAGTAAATGTACAACAACTTATTTCATATATAAAACTTTCAGCTAGTGTCTACTAATAAAAAGTTTTAACTTTAACAATCACAAAAAATTGAGTTATGTATGCACATATAGACAAACATATCTATTTCTCAAGAACCAACGTACCAATATTGGGGCCCTTTGGATAAAGCTGACGGACATTATGACTCTCCAAGCTTGGAATCAGAACATCTCCCTGGATACCAAAGAGGTGAACCAGAATCAGTTTAACGTAATCAATAGCAGATTAGCACAGGCAGTATGATAAAACATACTGTGTAATCAACACCCAAGGCTTTGAATGGTCCATCAATTGGCGGTGGAGGTTCTGGTGCGGATGAGGGATCCTGCTCAAAATTTTTGTACAGTCGGTAAAATGGAGGAGGTGGAGGGTACGATGATGATGTGGCCATTGCCATCCTGCAATATGCAACGCAAAACCAGATATCAGTATAGAGATTGAGCTGTCAAGTCAAATGACAACCACTCAAGGCGAAGTTGTATAATTCCTATGTTTGGTTTTAGTTTACTTAAACCCAGTGAATCAAATGAAATTTTATGATATATGATTCAAAGTGAAATGACGGGGAAACAATTTTTTTGCAAAATTGCCTCCATTTTAAAATTTACATAATGATGACTAAAAGTAAGTATGGAGAAATCCACATGCTAATGCTACTCAAATTTCTAATTTCATCTGCAGCATAATACCACATATCACAAAACACAGCATAGTCGAGCACTTACTCCAATTACAATTCATTTATCCAAGTAAAAAAAATGCAAAGGTAACTTCCCGATCTAAAACATGACCAGTGACTAGTTACCCTAGAAATATAGAACACACATGGGACCAAAATTTCTTTGTAAGACATGTATATCTCAACTAGTCACGGTGTAGAAACACAAACATTCCAATCAACTCACTTCACAGTCCTTACCTACCACCATACAACAATTTGAACAGAGGAAATGAGATCAGAATCTTTATGAACAAAGAAATGAGATCAGAATCACTTTCTTAAGTCTCGGAACATAATATAACACCCAAATACATCACTACTCTTCTCCAACCAAGATACCAGAAGACAACAATTTGACCAATGCGGGGATCAATTCGACTGAGGCTAGGGCTGGGCACAAAGAGCAGGCCAGCGGGGCGAGAGTGAGGAAGGAAGAAATACCTGACTCTATCTACAAGTACACGGACGAGTAGGAGATCAACTGCTCGGATTCCTCGCCTGCTGTACCGGCACCGCCGGGAAGGGCGCCGCCGCCGCCGGGTAGGACGGAGACACGCCGACGCGGATGCGGAAAGGAACGGGGCAGGAAAGAGAAACAGATGGGGAGGGTGATCGTGCTCTGATGGGCCGGCCCAATACGGATCCGCCCAGACGGTCTCGGCCGTCCGTTTTTAATCGGGCCGCGGTCACAGCAGAAGGCCGAGTCCTTTTACGCCACCACCCCTCGCCCCAAGTCGTTATTCAAAAGCGATCCCGACCTTCCGCTCCCGCAAGAAAGAAAAAGAAAAAGGAACAGGGGAAGCAAAGCACAAGCGCACACAGAGGCTGCCGCCGCAGCCCGCAGCAGCAGCAACGACACGCACCCCCCCCACCTCCCCAATCACACCACCCGGCTCCGAGGAGGAGCGAGACCGCGCGCCGCAGATCTGTGGTCGCCGCTAGGGTTCCGGCGAGATGGACGTGGTGAAGGCGGCGCAGCTGTCGGGGCGGACGCTGGAGCGGGTGGTGGTGCACCCCCTGGTGCTGCTCAGCATCGTCGACCACTACAACCGCGTCGCCCGCGACACCCGCAAGCGCGTCGTCGGCGTCCTCCTCGGCACCTCATCCCGCGGTTCCGTCGACGTCACCAACTCCTACGCCGGTAAACATCCCAACAACCCCCGCCTCCTGTTTCTCTGTCCGTCGCTAGGGTTTGCGCCGCTCAGGGTGCACGCTTCCGGTCACGGAGGGGGCTGTTGTGCTGTTTAGGGTTTCGCTGAATCGGCTGCTGGTGTAGATGCGGTTAGATCTATTGACATGGATTGCCCATGCTGCTCGTGCGTGACTGATTAGATCTGTGATGTTGTCCCGGGGGTGACTTGCTGAATCCGCTACTTGATTTTTTTTGTAGTGCCGTTTGAGGAGGATGACAAGGATCCTAGGATCTGGTTCCTAGACCACAATTACCATGAGTCCATGTTCTCCATGTTCAAGAGGATTAATGGTATGCTGTATCAAAATTCTCAAAACTTGTTGGCCCCGCTTGGTGCTATCGATTCTGTTGCCCTTATGAGCATGAATTGTTTGTGGTGCAGCCAAGGAGCATGTTGTTGGCTGGTACAGCACTGGCCCAAAACTAAGGGAGAACGACTTGGATGTTCATGCGTTATTCAACAGGTATTGTGAATCTGCATGTGAAGTTATGTCCTCTTATGTTTGTTCGTCTGAACTCGTGTTACAATTTTGTAGGTACTGTCCTAAGTTATAGACGAGTGTGTAACTTTCCACTCAACTTAGGATGATTTTTTTAAGTGTTGTCATATGTAGATTACCTTCCACAAGCTATTTGACTATGTTTCACCTACTGTTAGTGATACATGGTTGCAGACGTATTTCTGTTTTTCTCTGTGCTCAAAACATTTGCTCACACTAGAGATTCTTGATCCAGAACTGCATAGCCAATACATTTTCTCATGAATTTTGCTTTAAAATTCTATGTTTACCTTCCTAGCACTTGTAATGTATATTGCTGGGAAAAGAAAATGTATGGAGAGAACAGTCAAGTGTTAGTATTTCCACCAGAGTCAATTTCTTCATCTTTATTTCTTCTCCACATACTTCTGTAAAAGAATAATCTTGTTGGGTCAACCTAAATCAATCGCAAGAGCCATCAATACTTTCTGATGGTTTGGGAACTTCAGATGTCTCTTTTCCTCTACATTTCATTTTCTTTGTCCTTCTCTAGGGATGTTGGATATGTTGATCAAAGAATTATATTTTCTATATAATGTTAATTCTGCTAGCTTGGTCACTGGGTGCTCATCCTGTATTGCCTGTGGTGCTTCTCACAGCTGTTTATTTGAATTCTTGCTCTCCAATTTGCAGTTATGTTCCTAATCCTGTGCTGGTGATTATTGATGTTCAACCCAAGGAGCTGGGGATACCCACCAAAGCATACTATGCTGTGGAGGAGGTCAAAGAGGTATATCTCGGGGCTGAGATGCTGGAGTGTTTCACTTGCTTGCTCAGTGTTTAATTTGTTTTTTGTCCTTTACAGAATGCTACTCAGAAAAGTCAGAAGGTATTTGTCCATGTTCCTTCAGAAATTGCTGCTCATGAAGTTGAGGAAATTGGTAAGACTTGTTGATCTGATACTGCATGAACATCAACAAAAAGTTATGTAGATTTTATTATCCCGATGGTATTTTCAAATGTTATCATTAGGGGTCCACCAATTGTTGCCTTCATTTTGAGCAACAAAATAATTATGTATGAATATTAGAGTTCGCACTATGATGGTTGAGTCATGTTTTGTGCTATCATCAGGATTTGGGCACCTTAATCATTTTGAGCAACAAAATAATTATGTTCAATTTATTATTCAGACCCTATTCTCAATGTCATCACTTAGACTCCTCCAATAGGCTAGTTTCATTTTGAGGAACAAAAATAGTTACCAAGAAATATTGATAGAATTTGCGCTGTGACAGTTTGTTAACTGATATGCCTTGTACTATCTTCAGGAGTTGAGCACCTTCTAAGGGATGTAAAGGACACAACAATAAGCACACTTGCTACAGAGGTAATATGTCATGAGTGGATTTTCTGATTGTGTATTGTTCTATTCAAGGCGCACCCTAAATATCCCTTTCCTTTGTCAATTAAGGTCACTAGCAAGCTTGCAGCCTTGAAGGGACTCGATGCAAGGCTTAGGGAGATCCGAAGCTATTTGGATCTTGTAATTGACGGGAAGCTCCCACTGAATCATGAAATTTTGTACCATTTGCAGGTTAGTATCCCTCTTGCAATTCGTCATGTATTACTTTCATTGGAATTGAATGAACTAAACAGTAAATGCTGAAATATACTAGCTTTCTTAGTCTCAGTAGTATTGCAATTTGCAATCGGAATTGAACACATAAGATGAGTAAAGGTTCAGTATATTTTTGGTTGATGATAAACTTTTTCTTTGTATTTTGGTACAAATTGAAGGGCGGGCCTGGTGCAAGCGGTAGAGTCTTACCGCCTGTGACTGGAATGTCCCGGGTTCGAGTCGCAGTCTCCTCGCATTGCACAGGCGAGGGTAAGGCTTGCCACTGACACCCTTCCCCAGACCCCGCACAGAGCGGGAGCTCTCTGCACTGGTTACGCCCTTTATTTTGGTACAAATTGATCCCTTGAGAACAGTTATTTTTTCACACGTAGTTATGTTTTAAGTTTTTTTATTATGTACAGCATTGATTTTTAATTCTGTCATGAAATTCTGCTTCAGAAGAGATTGTAGATTATATTCATTATGTGTTCTTTTTGCAGGATGTCTTTAATCTCCTTCCAAATCTGAACGTAAATGAGCTAATTAAAGCCTTCGCAGGTAATCTTGCATCTTTCTTCTGATTTAACATAACTGACCTGATCTTTTCATATTCTCGGAATCCTTATTGCAGCAGCCTAATGTCCCCTTTCTTTTGTGCAGTGAAAACAAACGACATGATGTTGGTGATATACCTGTCTTCTCTGATCCGGAGCGTCATTGCGCTTCACAATTTGATCAACAATAAGGTTGGTTGTTTCTGATTGCATTCCTTGTATTTCCTTGTAGATAGATTGACATCTTTGTGACATTGATCACTTGTAATGGAATTACTCAATTTTGCTGTGGGCATGAAATCTTGTCTGTTAATTGCTGTGATTCCAGATGCTAAACAAGGAGCATGAGAAGGCCGAGGATTCGAAACCAACCGCCATTCCTACTGCTGCAGGGAGCTAAACATCCTTTTGATCACTGATTGGCGGCCAAGAAAAGGGACGAAACTTGTGATGACATGTTAGCACGGTCGTGCTCGAACCAATTGTCTTGACCTTGAATGGACATTTTGGTGTTTATTTCATGTATGATAAGGTCAACGGCAAGAGAAACCAATTACATTGTATGAACTTTAGATCATACCTCAAGTTTTCTGTAGATCTCGGTGCTATTTCATCTGGTGCATCATGTTTCAAGATGTAGACTTTCGTTTCTTGTGATTGATTTATAGCGAACCTGTACGTTGTACGTCATGCAATTCATCACGTCAATGATTGATTTGTAGCAAGTCTTAAATATTAACCATCTGGACTGATTCCGTTGATAGGTAAACATGGGCATGTTAAAAAAAATGAAGTCGTTTCACACCACACCAAACCACGATAAATAATCAAAGCATAATTTTAATTACTTATTATTTAAACAATGTTTTGATATTTATCAAAGTACGTCATGCAATTCATCATGTCAAATTTTTATGAAACCATTTTTCAAGACAAATCTATACATATGGTTTTTATATTTCTAAACTTAACAACTTAAAAATTATTCATGATTTATATTCCTAATATTTGATCAAAAGTTTTATTTAAAATGACTTTATTTTTTAGTATGGAGGGAATATAGAATAAGACTTGTTTGGAACAAAGTTTTCTTACAGGAATTTTAATGTCTTTCACTTCTTTAAAGGGTCGTGTGATAATGTTTGGAATAGAGGAATTTTGAGTTGGCTTCCTTCGGGAGGCAACAATGACATGTGCATTTTATACAAGAAATAAAACATCTAGTCCAATTCGAAGGAACGTATCTTCCTACAAACCAAACAACAAACTTTAGATATTTCTCAGTTTTGGATTTCAGATGCTTTTCACTCTATCTTATTTATTTGTCTTTTTCCATTCTTTTGTATTCTTGTGTTTCAAAAAGAGCCTTAGAAGGGTAAAATTCAAACTCAACTATAACCGGTATAGGACTAGAGTTCATAACGATATGTGGAGATGCTGAATACGTATCGCCTTGGATTATACGTCTAATTTGACCTCAATCGGACGGGCCTAAATAGAAATAGAAATAATATAACGGGCTTACGGGATCAGTTCCTCTCTGCCGAGATATCCAACGGGAATCCGTGGGTCTGCCGGTTTGGTTAGCTCTGCCGCGGAGAGGGAGAACCGGATCAGCGTGTCAACTGACAGCGCCATGGCCTTCGTTGCTTTCTCATGGCCGTTTCGCCGCCGTGGGAACGGCGGCGGGGCCGGCGGCAGTGGCGCAAGCAAGTCCGCCGCCACGGCCGCGGAGGACGAGGAGCTGGGCGTGACCCCGCAGCTCCTCGACTTCCTCCGGACGCTCTCGCCCGACGCCTTCAAGGCCGCCGCCCTCCAGCTCCAAGGCAACCAATGATTCCGTTCCCCACCCCATGCCCTCCCCTCCCACCGACTCTGCTGCCCTACTCGATCCGGCTAGATCCTGATACTCTTCTGCGCTGATCGCAGGAGGCTCCACGGAGGCGGCCGCCGGCGACCTCACCAGCTGGCAGGAGCGGCACGCCGTGCTCGTGCTGTCCAGAGCTAAGGTTGGTGGCTTCCCGCGGATCTCGTCTCCCTGCTTAACTCTGCCCATCCGTGAAAGGTTGTGAAGCGTGAGCTGTACCTGTGTGCTTCGCGTGCAGGAACTCGCCAAGATTCGGTACGATCTGTGCCCTCGGCACATGAAGGATAAGCACTTCTGGAGGATATACTTCCTGCTCGCCAAGAGTTACATCTCACCGTAAGCTCTCGTCTTAATAGTGTTCCATGCGTGTGTAATGCTTCTGTTGTGAAGTTCAATTGTTCTCGCAGTTTGTCAGTCGTTGATTAATGAACGAAATTAGCAACTGGAGTTAACTTCGAAATTAGCATCTCACTTTGGTTACAATCAGTTGAGTTCTTATATATGGATTATGGTATCTGCAGTGTGGATATAGTATTCTGCTGTCCTTGTACACAAACAAAATGAATCTTGTCTCATTTCAGATGTAAAGTAGATCTGCATATTCAGAAATTGGGACTGATGATCATACTGAAAATTGAACTTATCCATTAACAGCAACATTCAATTCATTGGCATTATGCTTCTTCATGCTATGACTACTTGCTATGCTTTTATTACTCTGCTTCATTACGAAATGCTGGAAGGTGATTATTTTTTGATATGCAAACTTCTGCTCGGAAGATGGAACGCATTTTTTACTACATAGATAACTGTAAAAGCTAGTGGGCTCTCCTGTTTAGGCTAATAAAATGCAATTTATAAGTTCCCTTAACCTTAAGAATATTCTATTGAAGCATGTAGGAGTGTCTTGACATGAAGCTTTGTAGAAAAGCTAATGATTCAAAAGTTAGAGGATTGAAAATTGGGACTTTTCTATAAACACAAACATTATATGCAACAAGTTGTTTCTTCCTGCTATATCCACTTACTATCCTAATTTTATTATATACTTGCTATCATGGAATATCACAAGGTGATTGTTCTTTAGGGTAGAAACTCTTACTGCTGGGAAGATCACATGGAATAAATCTCCACTGCATAGATAACCTCAAGAAACTCTTACTGCTGGGAAGATCACTTGCTATTTCAGTGGTGAAAGCTGTCTCACTGAGTCACCAGGTCGTGGGTTCGAAGCAGCCTCTCCGCAGATTTTGCGGGGGAAAGGCTTGTCTCGGTTTATCCCTTCCCCAGACCCCACTCATGTGGGAGCCTCCGGCACTGGGTCTGCCCTTTTTTTATAGATAACCTCAAGAAACAGTGGGCTTTCCTGTTTAGGCTGAAATATAGTTTGTATGTTCCCTGGAGAATAAGCAGTGAAGCTATGTATAGGAAGATCACATTAAGTTTTTTTCCAAGCAAAAAAGTTGAGATGTTTGAGGATTGAAACTGACATAATTGGCAACCCATTGACCAAAATTAGTACTGCTAGTTTCTCTGCAGCCTTTGCACGGAATGTGCAAATATATTAATTGAGAACTGAACTGTTGCTATTTAATGAGCAATTACATTACCAAATAGATTTTACCTCCTACTGATGTATGATATTATCTTTTTCTATACCAGCTACCGTTTGTTATTGACAACATCACATTCTACTTTTTGTAGATACGAGCTACGTGCCATACAGAAAGAAAAGCTAAGACGGATGGAGACAGAAAATGGCAAGTCAAAACAAGTGATTACTGTTGAGGTGGAGATGCAAGAATCAAAAGGCAGTAGTCTCTCTCAAACATCAGAAGTAGATTTAGAATCCCAAGTTTAGCTTTGCAGTTATAGCTTCTAACAGGATTTAGGTTAGGTAATTGCAAGGAGTATTCCTTTATGATTCCTTCACAGATCAATTAGCTCATGTCCAGTTGCAATGTCTGGTACAAAATAGCTCCACGAGTTTGTCAGATGATGCATCATGCATGGCTTGGATCCGTTTTGCAACTCCCGCGAGATTGAAAGTCTGCAGAGTGTGCTTTTGTACACTGAAACCAAGTACTTCTTTCTGGCATCAAGCTGCGTATGCTTGTTGGCTATGCTCTGAGCCACTGACATGTAAATTTATGGTCTCTTGTGTGTAATCTTTATGCAAAGAACATAAATATTGTACGTTTCATATAACTATTGATTTTGTCAATTGCGATGTATGTCTGCATGTGTCGGACACAATTCTGTTACCCCCCACCCCACCACCTCCACCTTGCTTTTCTTTTTTGTTATGATATCATTTGTGTCGCTGATGGAATTTTCTGAACCATGCCATGCCATAAGATCACATTATAAATGCTTAAGTAGAAACCATTCCAGGAAAATGCATGCGAGCACAATAGCATCGAATTACAGGATGAGCACTGAGCAGGCACGTCAGAAAACGAGGGGAATCACCGAGGCAGACTAAACTTTTTTTTTGGAACTTAGGCAGACTAAACTTGGTCATGCAGAGGTAGGCACCATCATAAATGTGGTTATCACGCCCAATATCACAATATCTGTGTGCTGCTATATCATTATTAGTTAGCTTGTATAAAATCGTATCAACATCTGCGGCCCAAAATAGCCAAGTGCACAACCTAGTACCTCTGCAACAATCACCTCAGACGATAGCCTAAAGAATATCACACATCAGCCTACATTACTAACCACACAGAAATTCTCTGAACAGTACCCTCAAGCCATGGCATCATAATCATCCAATGCATCATTGTACTCCATGACTCTTTTCTTGATCTTTGAGGAATCCACCCAGGTGATGTTGTTGTTGTTGAGGAATCCACCCAGGTGATGAAGTCCTCCATGTTCCTGGTCACAAGGAAGGCTGGATCGGTGACGAGCTCAGGGCCAACACGCACATGGCCCTGTTCAATGTATGTCACGGCCTCTTTGAGGTGCTCTGCCATCTTGATCCTCATCATAACTGTTGCTAGTCTTCGTCTGCAGTGATTTAGCAAAGCAAAAGGTGAGTGGAATGTGATGTGAGCGAGTGAAAAGAGAGTGGCTGGCTGGACTGGAAGAGAGACCTGCAGAAGGAGCTCGCTGAAAGTTTCTCACATTTTACCAAACTCTCTTTTGTCGAAATTACACCCATATTGTACCTGAAATTAAGGTACTTTGTCATACAACATCACAACACAGATCAGTATACGAAGTAACAAATCCTGAAGCCGCCAACAGTAATTGAACGAGAAATCATATAATTTTGTCAAAATAAATATATATATATGACTAGATATTTTTCCTAAGATGACACACTATACTGACACTATAGCATCAGAAGTGACAATAGTCGTAGCAAGACAGCTTATGAAACAGGAACAAGCTCCACAGATCACAGGACATGCCATGATAGCTTATGGTCATTCAGTCCAGTGCAAATGTGAGTCCAACCCAACCACATGCTGATGTAAGTATAAGAGCGTGTATGGCCAGACATAAGCATGTGCATTGAAATATAATTAGGGACAATTAGCTTAGAGAGATTGAAAACGCACTCAACTTTTGCCACCGTTTACATAGCACAAAATTCTGAAAAAATAATCAAGAACTCACAGATTGTCAGATTGATAAGGAGCTCAGTTTGGTTAAGTTCCCGTACACCTGAAATACCATCTAGTCTAGATTGTCTAGTGATCTAGTCTAACTGCATTTTACCAGTGTTAACCATCACACGATCGAGAAATTTGGAAAATTGACGTGTCAAATCTTAAAAGGTTGTCAACGTGTCAAATCTTGAAAGACTCACGAACTGTATATCAAATATCAAAATCTGTCCCATCGCTCACCACAGGTGAATGTGAATGTATCAACAGGGCCTTGTTTAGATTACAAGTTTTTTCACTCTCTTTTCATCACATCAAATCTTTAGACACGTGCATGGATTATTAAATGTAGATAAAAAAATAACTAATTACACAGTTTGATTGTAAATTACGAGACGAATCTTTTGAGCCTAGTTAGGCCATAATTGGACAATAATTGTCAAATACAAACGAAAATGCTACAGTGTTAAATACTGATTCCTAACCCCAATCTAAACAAGGCCCAGATCAACAATCCAAACACAGATGCAGGGAGCAAAATTGTAGGCCTGAGGAGCATTCGTCTTAATCCTCCAACTCGAAATTCACATAAGCAACTAACTTACAGCTTATGGAGCAGCATGTCCGCCATCTGGATCCTGAAATGGTCCCGCGGGTCCATCTGCCTGATAATGCTCACTTGCTTCTGCACCATTAGGCATATCCCATTGTACCTGCCGCCACAAAAAATTGAGTTGCCCACGATCGTCGGAAGTGCCCCGACAAGATCGATCGACGGATTTTGCCACTACAACTGACACACGCAGCATTACGAGTCGATCGATCCACTCAACGTGCGATCGTGAAGACGGTGAAGGGGGCTGGCGAGTAGTTAGTAGTACTTGTTGTAGTCGTCCCTTGCGACGATGTGGTAGCGCTGCATCACGCGGCCCTCGCGGCGCCCCTTGCCCTTGTCGTAGTCCAGAAAGTTGACCCTCTTGAGCCGCTTCCCTCGTGGAACGCGAGCTTCCTCATCCTTCGCCTCCTGCAATCGACGGAGAAGTTCTGGACCGGGAGGGTGCTCCGATCAGCCGGCGGGAGGAATTGAGATGATCTGAGGGGCGGCTAGCCTATCAAGGCCATGTTTAATTCCACCGAAATCCAAAATTTGGCACTATAAAAAAAAAAAGATTCAGTGTCGCATTAAACTTGCGGTACATGCATGGAGTACTAAATATTGACGAAATCAAAAACTAATTGCATAATTTGGTTGTACTTTGCGAGACGGACGTTTTGAGCCTAATTAGTCAACGATTGAACAATTATTACCAAATAAAAACAAAACGCTACCGTGCGCTACAATGCTATCGAATTCAGCCGGCGCCGAATCCGGCCGAAACTAAGGGGCTATTTGGATACTACCCTGGACACAGACTGCCTGGCCTGGATGATGCCTGTACGACGTTTGCTTGCAGCCCTGTATCCTTGCCTGGTCCAGGCATCCCAGGCACACAAAAACGATCGCCTGGCCACAGGCAACGTTGCCTGCTTAAATTCCTTCACAGTTAATGAAGATCAAATTGCATATTTCAAACCAAACAATATATCTGTGATATAGCCTGAGCAGGCAAAACACGGTGATTTAACAGGCAACATCCAGGCAGTCATTTTTTCCGACAACAACACCAGGGTTCCATCCAAACTAGCCCTAAACGCAGCCTAAGGCTGGATGCTGCGGGGCGTGGTTGCAACTTACAACTACCACCGCCGAACGACAGCGGTGGCCTAGGCCCGGTGGGCTCGAGCTCTGTGGGCCTGCGACTGCGAGGAGGCGGCTCCCAACCCCCGCGAGCAGAGCATCGTGTTGGGTGGGCCCACCCGCGCAGCGCAGGGAACACCCACCGTGGTGCACAGCCTGCAGCGATGCAGGCGGCACGGGACGCGACGGCCGCGGTCATCGAAAAGGCGTAGTACGGCCACGGCCAACGGGCCAAGGCGCGGTCCCGGCACGCAACGCAAGGCAACCGTCGCGCTGCCAGAAGAAAATCTCGACTCGAGCACGCGATTTTTTTTTTAATAATCGGGGCTGCAGTGCACTACTGCAGCAGCTCGACCGTGATCGCGTGAGAGAGACTGAGGCGCGGGCCCTGGCAGGCCGCCCGACCGGCCCAGTGGAAAGGCGAAACCGCGAAAGGACTACGGATAAAGCGGGAAGGACTACGGCGCAGGCGATTGGGCGCCACGCCACGCGCCTGGCCCCGCTGCCGGTATCAGCACACATGTGCAGCCGGCACGGGGACCACCGGTCCTCGCCTCCCACAGGCCACATGCACGCGCCTCCGCTGCGGCAGATTGGGCAGCGCGCCGCAGCCGGGCCCGCAGCGCAGTGGAACAAGTACGCACCAGCCAGAGAGGACGAGAGGACGGGGAGGTTCACGGGCCGTCCGTCCCCTCGCCGTCGCCGGAGCCGGACTGGGGTTTTAACCTTTACCGCCCCGGAAAGGGTGAGTGGCCGGTGTGCAGTGTGCTCTCTCGGCCTTCGTGGGCTGTTTTGGCTTATAAGTTATGGCTGAAAGTATTGTTGATTGATTTGATGTGAGAGAAAAATATTATTCGTTGACTGATAAGTCATGACTTATAAGCCAAATACGACCAAACGAATAGCCTGTTGGTCGTCTGAGACTCTAGATGATGGGAGTAGCAGGGGGTATGGGCATCTTCTATACATCCATGGTAGATCCTTGCGACGTCGAACCTGTTCGCTCGTTTGTTTCAGCCAGGGCTTATCAGTCATGATACAGTGTTTTTCTCTCACAATAAACAAGCACCAGTCAAACTTATCAGCCCAGAAACCAACCAGCGAACAAGTCGATCATCTTCGTAAACGCATGTTGTGAATTCATGGTAGATCCTCGCAACATCTTCACATGTCATGAATGCACAATACATCCTCACGGCATGGACTCTGGTCATCCTCATCTCCTGTGTTCACTTGCCTTGCTCCATCATCCAAGGCTTCTGTAGCTGTTGCAAATCGAGTCCCATACCATTATGTTATGTGCTAGGATCGGAAAAAGATTCGACCAAAAGGCAGTGGTAAGAAAGCATCAATCTTTGCCCCTGTACCTGCTGCTTTTCCCCCCTGCGCTGAGTAAAGTGTGAGTCTGCAGCTGCACTCTGGGAAAGGTTCTTTAATCACGATCACGGTAAAAAAAATTACGCGTGGGTTCTACTACTTCAATTGCTCAAGTCACCCTTT